TAATAGCATGAACAATGTGGACGACAATCCTCGTATCTGCTTCTTCGTGGTTGCAATCCCCCATTTGTTTCTCAGAACCAGTGGATACAACGGAACTTCCTAAAGCAATACAACAAAACAGAATAAGCAAGTAATTCAATTAGCGTTGTGGTTATACAGATAACGTGTGCTCATACCAAATGTAACATAAATGGCCTTTGTCTCTTACCAGTTGTGCTGAGCAATCTTAGTTGTTAAAGGGCAACTGACGTGTGAAAATGAACCATTTTGGAAAAAATCTCCATTAATTGGAGAACTCAAAAATATAGTTTTTACGTCTTGGAAACAAATCCTGATTTTTTTATAGATTTTTAAAATATATTTCGTGACCGCTTTGACCGTGGGCTCATAAAAAAGGCCGTGTGACGTCACAACGTCAAAAGGCGAAAGGTTGTTTACACTCGGACGTTTCTGAAGTTCTACTGTATATTACTTATATAATAAGCCACTCTTCGATATACGTTGCGAGTATGTCGGATAGCAGTTRGTGTTCAGAATATTCTGAATGCTCCGAGGAATCATTTTTTGAAWATTTTCACGGGGATTTCGATCAAAACACAGACATACAACCATACTCGTTTGAGCCGCACGTGGACCTTCAGTCAAGTGATTCTAGCGATGAAGACCTTGCAAACGACTCTGATAGTAGCGATCAAGAACATAACAGATTACAAAATACTACTTGGTAAGTAAAAGTGTTACGTGTCAGTTTAATACTGTAGAAATAATGGTGATATAAAGAATACTCTGTGCAACAAAGAAACTGTGACTTGCGATCGGGTAGGACGATCGATAAGCTGAAACTAGATCTCTAGAGAGCTTATTTTTCCTATTGCTTTAGGTAGCTAAAATCAAAGCTATGCTATTTTACTTGTAGATCTGAAACTCTTATTCGTGAGTCTGGTATAATTACTATTTTGTTGTGTTATTGGGCTGTCTGACTCACATATTTCTTTTTTTTTTTTTTCTCGACGTTTCGACGCCATTCTGGTCGTCATCCTCAGGATTTTTAATCAGTGATGTCAATATTTACCCGTAAAAATGCTATAAAAGTTAGTCATGGCCGCTCTATGTCAGGCATATTATTACTATGAACAGCGTTCGTGGTCATTCAGTCTTTAATTCCTTATTTATCTTTTTCAGGTGTAAGTGTGAAAATTGTCAGAGAATGGACACTGTTAGAGAATGTATTTGCTGCCAAGAAATCACTAAAGTTTGGGATATGTGTCAAAGTCTTGTTACAGATGGATTGCCAGCAGCATCATGCATAACTCAGCATCCTGGATTTTTGCCTGTCTGCACAAATAAGTACGTTTTGAAAACTGCATYGATGCAGTATAAGCAACAGTATGGACAGTCTTATGATGGGCCAGAACACAAGCAATTCAGGCATATTGCTTACAGACAATTAGCAAGATGGTGTTGGGMTTTTTTAGGGAYGGAAGTRAGAGTGGTGRTACCATCATGTGCCGTCATGTGTATCAGAGCTCACTTTCCCCCTCCAGGACTTGAAGAAAATTTCACTTTCGAAGGTTTTCACTATAGTGATGAATAAGTTTCAATAACAAACTTTGTAAAACAAAGGGAGTGCATAATGAAAAGCACAGGATTTTATTGTATTTCATGGTAGTTTCAATTACACAGTAATAGTGAATGAATGATTCAATTTGATATTTACTGCAAACAAATTCAATTGACAACTATTACTTGCTTTTAATCACATGATTTTGCAGACAAGACAATTGTCTACCACATGAAAACATATGACGAATGATTTTATGGCACTTTCAATATTTAATAGGTTATCCAAATGAAGATGCATTTCTATTGAAGGCAAGCAAAGTTAGTTAGCCTATTCTCTGCAGGCTCTACAGGCCACTACTGGAGCATAAGTACATACAATCAATATCACTAACATTGAATCGCTGTAGCCTAGCTATATGCCACTATTTTTCGTGTTCTTCTTTTTGACTATAACTCAAAATCATGATATTTATAACCAATTTTTAATATTTGGTATTCTGAATGGCATAACACATTGCATTGCGGTGAGGGTTCAGTACTTTCTCTTTTTTTCATGCAGCCTAATATGGTTTTGCTTGCACCACAATAGGACACCACAATGCAACATGATTTTATATATTAGAAAAGCTATATGTTTGTAAGTGTTTTTGAAGTGCTTAGACTGAAAATGAATTACATTTAATATAGTGACTARTGTCACTATCACTATTGCAACACCATCAATCAATTACAACACTCACAAAGTAGTACAAGGTATTGTTTCCTTATGTATCCAAAGTTTCTTGTGTACAGTACATACTGTTACTAGTAAGACTATACCATTTCAATCATTTAGTGAGCTACTAAATACTATGTAATAGCTAGAGCAGTTTGATTTAATCCATAAAATAAAAACTAAGTAGTTCTTAAAAATTAGTCACTATTTTTCACTTAAATAGATGATAGCACTCAAGCAAATCAACTTATAGTTCAATARTTAGGAGAAATTAAATYCACAAGAATCAAATCAAGTCATTCATTTTTTTATTTCATTTGTACTGTGGAATCAATAAAAAAACAAATGAAATAACATGATCCTTGTGTATTTAAATTCTCCTGAGTATTATATAATATAATATAGTATAAGTTGATTCGCTTGAGTGCTATCATCTATTTTAGTACAAAATAGTGATTAATAGGCCTTTTGCATGAAACGGTCACATGGTACAAAATCCGCKATACTGGATGGCAAAATACCCACTGGGATTTTCAAAACAAAGAAAAGTCAAGCTTGATGGGCTGCGTTCRTTTTGTTTTTGTGGTTGTTTACATTCTTTTGCCATCCAGTATGGCGGATTTTGTACCATGTGACCYTTTCATGCAAAAGGCCTATTGTTAAGAACTATTTAGTTTTTATTTCASGGATTAATATAAATTATTTATATTATTGCCTAAGTTACATTACTATAAAATTACAATATTTCTTTACTGGTTAATAATACTTATCAATAAATTATCATCTTGAGAATCTAGACCTGTGCCTTTCAATCAACTCTTGCTTGTCAGGATTCGGTTGACTTGCAATGTTGGCAGGGAGCTCGACCTCATCGGCTTTCAGGTAATCTTCTGTGGCACTGCACATTTTCAAAACTTTTTTCTGCATCTCTGGGAGGAAATCAAGACTCTTCTTCTCTTTAATTGGTTTAACTACCCAGCGCTTTTGCATCTTAGTAAAGCATGTTCGATAGCGTGCTTCTCCCTTCCTTTCACCATCCATGATCTCAGCCTGTTTTCGATTGGTGTTGCGATTGTTGTCAATTGCAGCAAGCTGCGTTCTGGCCACCATTCCCTTGTAAGAGAAGTGCTCTCGTTTAGGGCAGTACTTCAAAACCATGGAGTGGTAGACCTCCAGGCCACCAGTGTGACAGAACTCAGTGAGCTTTCCAATATCTTTCAGAAGCTTTGGCTGAAGAACGATTTCTTCAAGCGCTACATAAGCTGATGACCCTGGTTTCAACCAGCTCTTCGAACGAACTTCTCTTCTAGAAAGACGAGGATGTGCGCACCTTGTGAAGAGCTCTGCTGACCCCCATGTGTGCTTGTTGGTAACATGGCTCAATATGGATACCCACTTCTCTCTCAGGAGCTGTACATTACCCCCACATGTTGCCGCACACCACCACAAGTGATTCGAAATAGACTGGATCCATTGAGCAAGTTCCTGGTTACTCTTCAACTTTGCCTTCTTATTCAATTTTTTAACTATTGATTTGGATAAGTGCCAAACATCATATTGATGTTTGATATGAGCGTAATCCTTTTCCATTGCACTTGTTATGGAGGTATGTCTMTCAGTAGTTATCATATCAATTTCCACCTCATCATCGTCCTCTAAATTCCTTAAACAGCGCACAAACCCCTCTTTCTCCATGGCATTTGAAGATGTCACCTCTGTAACCTGCACAAGATTGAATGATACAATTTTGCCAGTGTCACTGTCCATCATTGTATAAGTACTATACTTTGCGTTGTGGCCAGGACTATCACACCTTCCATCACCATTCAAATTAACTTTCTCCTGAGTCAACAACTGTTCAATAGTGTTCCGTCTTTCTATTTCCCATGTGTCATTTATGACAGGGAATAAAAACTTATCTTGCTTACGATAAAATGACTTTTCACTGATAAAATGAAGCCCAAGGCATGTGGCAAAGTCATTTAGTCTGCTATAAGTATTTCCAGTGAACAGAATAGAAGAACAAATTAATAAATTTCCAACACAACCACCATTGACTAAAGGCTGTGAGTTCCACACCATCTCATGGTCATTGAGACATGTTGTTTTGACAGAGACCATACTTCCTGTGTGTGAGAATTGTGGTTCTGAAATTATGACAGCACCACATTTTTTACAAAAACGAAACAGCTCCTGCAAGTTTGACATAAACACCAAATATTTAGGTTCATCAACAAAGCTCTCAAAGGTGGTGTCTGGTTCTGATATCTCACTGTCAGTCGAGGAATGTGTTTCTTGGGAACAAGGGATTTGGTAGTCGTCATCGCCATCATCATCACTCTGAACTTCGTCATCTGACAAAAATGACCCAATTGACTTAACAGACTTCTGTGGGGATACACTAGCATTGGACTTCTGTGGTGAAACATTTGCTTGCACTGCATACGTGTGGTCTCCAAGTGGATGTACTTCATTAATAATTGGTTTATCACCATCATTAACATCATCATCACCTACACTATCAGTTTGAGTAGCAGTTGATGTAGTTATTGAATAATGTATATCAGTAAGACAGCACTGGATGCCAATTTCACATGTCCTAGGTGGTGGTTGTTCTGTGKCATTATCATTATTGCTGTCAACTTCCATAACTTCTTCGCACACTTGTTGAGCGAGGAGGTCTTCCATCATCTTAAAGAAAAAGATAAATGTGGTAAATAGATAGGTTTTAAGCTTTTCATGAACTTAATCAAAGTGTGAATACATTAAAAATTAATGAAAATTTAATTGAAAGTGACTTTAATTATGAACATTTATCTAGGTACACAATTGCAAAAATTAAAGTATTTATTAATATCATAGTGGCATAGCTTTGGTATTACATGTATGTTACAGACCAGTAGGAATATGAAAACAACACATTTTAGAATACTGGGCAATATAAATATATAGATAAATGTGGAAAGATCACAAGTTAAGTATCAAAACAATAGATATATAAATGTATGAAGTATATAAGTAGAATAGTGTAAAAGAAAACACGCCATTTGTAAATATAAAGACAGAGAAAGCACAGCAGGACTGACTTGGTTTAAGCTGCAGAAATCCCGCTCTCAAGATCACATTGTTCAACGATATGTAGTAACAGATTATTTATTATTTTAGCGAAAAAGGCCTAGACGGAATACTTGATAAATTCAAGAAAATCTTATGAAGTTCTTTCGAAAGACAGGACAAAACTGAACTCTCTATACAAGCTGACAAGAATCATAAAGCATGCATACKGAACGCTACTTTAGTTATATGTCAGTCGCTTCTAACAACTTTTTTAGATTTAAAATTCAAATGCAAGTACGATATGATATAAACAATATTTGAAGTACATTTAAGCTTACGGAATATGAAGGCTAACTTAAAAGTTAAATTCTCACAAGTTTTCAAGTTGATATCTTATTTACATCTTACACCTACCTCTTGTTGTCGTTGTCTTTTGATGCGATTCTCCGAAGTTGCCCTTCTTTTGCCGGACACTGAAGAAGAGGCAAAGCTAAACACAGTTGGAATTGCATCTGACTTGAGTTTTCTTTTTCTTTTTTCTCCGGTTAACTGTTGAAAAAGATCTCTTTCGAAGCATTCTTCGGTGAAATGTTCGCTACAGACGTAACAATTCTGTAATGGCGGCATGTTATCCCTTCTTATTCGTGATATCCAAGCTTTTTGAAGCTTTAAATCTTTGGGTATCTTATGATAACTAACGTCTGAAGTTTTCGAAGAATAATTGGTGCATCCTGGGACACAACAATTGACCATTGTAGAATTCAAAAGATGGAAATCACGCGTGCAATATAGKTATACAAGAGCATACACAATAGTCTTACATGTGGTCGACTTGTCTATGACTTTGTGACGTAACAGTGACAGCGGTCGTATTCGCGGGCTCAAATATGGCGACATTCAAATCAGCCACCCAAAAATATCTAAAAATCTATAAAAAAATCAGGATTTGTTTCCAAGACGTAAAAACTATATTTTGGAGTTCTCCAATTAATGGAGAATTTTTCCAAAATGGGTCATTTTCACACGTCAGTTGCCCTTTAA